CATGAAGAGGAAACGGATTGCCTTACTCTTCGCGAAATTCAGGAAACTGGTCCCACACACCGCAAAGTCATTGAATAAAGGGAGTGGACTTAAAAACAACATTATACAATCGTCACGCAACTAAGGTACTTGCTAGGTGTACAGCAGCTAAGTGTTGGACTGAATGTTTTTTACACGAAAGGAAAACCAGTAAAAGAGGGAGGGTGCTTCACTTTGCGCTCAAACTTACTGTTAGCCAACCTGTTCAGAGCCTACTATGAACGTTCAAAACTTGGAAAAAGTAAAGCTGATAGGAAGTATTGGGCTGTGACTAGATGCGCCATGTATCAGACTGCTAGTCAAATTGATAAAGATATTTGAAACACAAGAATTAATAATGAGGGCCAATCCCAGACATGACATTTGTCCCACTATCGGTTGCTTGGTGCTTGGTGCTTCGAAAAATCTTCAATGTTATAGTGTCTGGCCCTATCTTGTTTTTGATGCTTACCTGGGTCTAAACTTCCGTAGAGCTGCGGGGAAGTTCTGTATGATCTCCTGATATTGTTTACACCCGTTCATTTTTTAAGAAAAACGTTTTTAGACTTGGAAAACTCATATACATTTAGACCTCGTAAAGTTCAAGGAAACAAATTTATCATATGGCAATCATGCCAAGAATCATAGAAAGTCGTGCATAGAAAGGGGGCCTGTAGTATGACGGGTGATCAAAAATACGCTTGTCGCTCTCCCATTGTAAAAAAAAGTCTTGACTTTAATAAAAAAGTTGAAAAATATAGAGGGACTTGACTTCGAATGAGGCGAGAACCAGTTAAGTCAGTGCTGTACAATGAGAATATGTCAAAGAAATGTCAAGAGAAAGCTGGGCATAAGTTGCAAGGAAACTCTGATGGTTTCGAGCTCAGCGCGAGTTAAACGACCGTGTTGTAAAGTATTCGATCAAAGGCTCAAGTTCAATGCCTGTCGAGCCCATGTCATACGGAAATATCGGCATTTTGCTAGAATCATAGCGAAATGCTCGGTGAGACTCCAAGTTACCTACCTTTTTGTGCAGGAGTCACTTTCACGACTGCAGTACTTACTAATTCTATTTTCTTTTTTGGACTAATCACAAGAATACTTTTGAAATCCCTTTGTTGTTCTGACCTAGACAACTGAATGGGATAGGTTGAAGGAGCCAAGACATAAGAGCTGTAAGAGAGAAAGAAAGTGGCAAGGAAGCCGCAGCAACTTACGCCCTTTTGCCATAAAGACCGAGAACGTCAATGTAATAAGGATAGGAAAAAAGGGTCGAAAAAGGTTTATAACTGCAAAATCTTGGCCTTATTGGTCCTAGTAATGCGCTTGGTTAAATATTCGTTTCAATAATTTTGACGGTCGGGACTGGGCCAGTATTAAAAGGCACACTGCCACACCCATATGTTCAGAAATCGGACCACGGGTCGATATTCGCCCTGGCTAATCAGGCCCTACATCGGTATGGGTTAATGGAAGCCAGATTGGTGAGGAAGTTTAAAAGCGCTAACTTGTACGTCGGCCGGCCACCGCAGGTCATTCTAAAGACCTCATAGGCATAAAACATGGCACTACGATTTCAAACGAAGTCCAATGCGAGGCTTATACCACAATATATTTTTCCTGAGTTTCGGAGAGTTATGAAAAGCAGTGAAGACTGATTTGGAAGATTTTCTTGAAACCCCCAAAATTACGTTCACTTTTGAAATCTCATTTTAGTATTAGTTATTTTTAGAAGTTTTTGGAAGTTTTTCTCCAACTTTTCAAAAAGAATCATGAACCACTCACGAAAAAGCATTATAATACATGTGGTCTAATCGTGAGAAAATTAGCGGAAATCAGAATTTTGGTGTAAGTCGTCGTCAAAAAAGCGATTATCCCATGAATTTTAAAAAGCTCTCTTTTTGATGGATATAGGAAACAAAAGAAACAAATTAGGAGGGGTGGAGGTGATGCAGCGGCAAGTGGCACCCAATCATTCACAGTGGTCCCGGATCGGCACTTGCTCTGGCTGTGTAGACCTCCCATCTCTCCGATGTCGGTAAACTGGGGACAGATTCGCCTGGCAATGAGAAGATAAAAGCACAGACATGCAATTCGCTGGCCACCTCTAGAGTCTTGCATAGGCCATATACGCATTCAAACCGCCAGTGCGATTCTGTAGCGGAGTCGAATGCGGGGCGCATCCAGAAATGAACCAATTCACGAACCAAAAATGTTTTCGTTTTTCCAATGGATAACACAGTGGATTCAAGTTTCAAATATCATTAGTCATCAGGTTTGGCTGCTTCCTACGAACAGTAGGTACATCGAAATCAGAAAGCCCACGACTGTACTGCAATATCACTGGATTGACACCTCATAGACCATAGAGTGGCCTTTAGTCAGGTGTCCTTTAATGAAGGTCATCAACGCGCTAATAAGAGCTCTGGCATCAATTAGCTCATGGAAATACTAAGCGGTGTAATGGGTTGTCATTAATCGAGCAGTACTATATAATTATGTTTTATGATGACATCTCGAAAGGTTGCTGTTGAAGTAGTGGCCAGTATCTTTAGCGCGAGAATAGGGCAAGCACAGGAGGAATGAAGTCCCTCCTTGGCCTCTTCTTGTCAGAATAGTTAAATGTCACCGTTGAAAAGTACACCGAAGACAGAAAAGTTTGTTGATTCCGGCTGACTTTGCTGGCACAATACGATCCTCCTCGGTTCATCATTCTCGGCAGTCCTCCAGAATGGATCAGCCCTTGCCGAACAATGGTCAATGCATGGAGCCCTTCTGGAGAAACTTCCATATCCGTAAGTAGGACCATAATTCGGAAGAAATCGTTGGAATAGCATAAATATTGTTCAAAATGCAGACCGTCTGAACAACTATGCAACAGATCAAGCATCAGACTATCGTGAGAATCAGTACAGATGATCTCTAGAGATGGCCTATCCAACGACACGCTTTGCAATCTTTCGGCGCATCCGCATAGGTTCCGATCGCTTGTAAACCATTCTCGCCGGGGTTTATGACTGTCACCACAATCTTAGCCAGTTATATTTGTAGAAGACAAATTTCCCCCACACACGTTCACTGGTAGTGGTTTTAGGAATGCGTCTGGTTGAAGCAGTGAAGAACTGTTCGTAGTTAGCTCGTGAAAGGCGTTGCGCTCTATAATTTCGATAGCTCAAGGTGTTGGAATCATCTTCAAGCTATAAAGAGACAAAACCCTTGCTCACGACTGAAACAATCGTTTTGTTTTTGAACTACGACTTACTAATTTCTATCAGAAACTACGATTGTCGTGGGCGCGCACTTGGTCTACGAGTTGATTCAGAATATGGAGTGGTGTGTAAGGCAGGCACTACATTTTGAGGAGTTCCTACTGCCGAAATTCTGAGAGGCCAGGAATTCTATCAAAAGTCATTCCTCAAATCACTACATTCCTTTGTTATTCAGGACGCCATTTTTCGCTAAGCCATCTCTGCTTGCCAAAGAAAAAACCGATTTTCAAGTTACGACTGTAAACGCAAGGTTTTCTAGCAATAGAATAGTGAAATGATTATTATCCAGTCTTTGTTACCATTCGCATTGGAAACGCTCACATTCGCTCGAGTGAAGTGGGACGTTCGTTGCTTCATCTTGATTTTTCATAACCAGCAAAAGGTTTATGAGGCAAAGGTGGGGATGGACCACGACTTTTGAGGTTATATCTCCAGGGATTTTATATGGAAGTAGGACAGGGCAGGAGAGTAAGAGAACCCAGTTAAGTTTACGACAAGCCCACCAATTTTCCCTCTTTCTGAGCATTGATAGTAGTAAAATGTTGGGAATAGACAGGAGAGAATGCACTAACCTATAACAGATCCTAAAAACTATCAGGAAAATAAATCAGCAAAACATTCCCTATTCCGTAGCCTATACTATAGTCTGTAAGGCCAATCAATAATGAAGTCGAAGCTTATCCTTTTCAAGTATCAAACAAACGGCCACTAGCGTAGAAAAGTTTGGTTGATTCGAATTGACCTCTATTTTATAGCTCACCGAAAGACCCCTAGCTCGCTGCACCCCTTATCCTATATTTCATGTTCAAGGGGTTACCTAGGACTAACGTTATAGAATTCAAGAGGGGAACGTTTGTTCTGCGAGAGCGATTGGCTCTGAACTCATCCTGATTCGATACTCAAGTCTGACTAGGGGTACGAGATCAATGGGTTTGAAATCGATCGGTTTCTTCGGGTGCGCCATGTAATAGACTACCACATATACCCATTGAAGGATTTTATGGGTACGTTATATAGGCAGTGACTTGAAGAACATGACAGAATTCGCTAAATCCAACCTATTCAGAGGTCCTGTGGTAGTATGAAAGGCAAAGAGAGAGCTTCTATGACTACCGTTAGATCACCCGCAAAAAAAAAAGAGGTCCTGGTAAGTGGACTCGACCCTTTAAAGTCCCAGAACACCTCTGATAGCCTTCTTTTTCCAGCAAAAATCGCTTGTCACTTCAGATTCTTCCAAATCAAACAGAAATGAATTTATTCTCCCCGTAACTAAGACAAAAACTTCGTAAAAAAGAATCACAAAAAGAAGTAATACACAGTGTTAATGTAATCATTTAAGCAGGTTTGCTACCTGTATTGTATAATCAACTGCTAAGGTAGAATCAAAACAAAGCTCGATAGACAATGATCAGAAAGAAAAAGACAGCCAGAGAAAGTGTCGGAGTTCAGGAGATCTTGGTAGAACTGGCCAGTCGGGCAAGTTGGTGGCATATGAGCTATGTAGTTGCATTGTCTAATGTGATTATCATGGGTGCTTTCCGGGCATGGACTCCTCAAAGACCCCAAAAATGGTCATTCAAATCTAGGAATTTAAACGAATTCTCTTGGGTTAGGCTCCTTTCCACAGCCGATACTAACGTATCTGTGGAAACTACCCGAAAAAGCTACACACTTTTGTTTCTTGATGCTCGTATCCCATCGAGTAGGGTTATACTATTCATCATCTGGAGAACGTCGTCTTTTTTGCAGGGCCTCTCTTACACTTCCTACTGTAACTCTTCTAAGCTTCATACGATATGGGTTTGAAGATGCAATTTAGGGTGGTGAAATCACCCTCGATTATACTATTCAATCATTATCCTAGATTTTTCTCTAAATTCAATAGAAGCTGCCTCAAAATTTGCGGTTAAGGCTCGATTTGTTGGATTGGCCAATAAATTGAGACATTTCATGTCATGTTTTATCTTACACTATTTGTGCATAACATGCCAGAGTGCATGAACGATTTCAAAGGCTCCCTCGGTCATACAGAACTATCATAACTGCTCTTTCTTATAATCTAGTTGTTCACGATTTACAGGGTCCAAAAATGGAATATCCCCGAGTTGATTTACCCTGTCTTCTGACGACAATTGATTTGCTCGGCCTTCTAGTGATTTGTTCGGCTACCGCCCTTCTTCTTAAATGCTTTGAGACGTCTATATCGAATTTTGTTGGTCGTGATCTTCACTAAAATCATAGTCCTCCTTTCCCCTCTGAGACCCTCTCCATTCTTGTAGCAATGGTCCTGTTTTATTTGGTAGCTCATGGATTTTCATAAGAAGGGATAAACAGCAGAGATAAAAAATTGTTGATTTTTGCTCCCTGTATGTTCCATTTATGGGCCTAAAATTTACAAATGGTGAAGCTGTAGGAATGAACAGTTCAAATACATCCGTAAGGCGAAATGAGTTTCTTTAAATGTTGTATATTTTGATAATAATGCACAAATAATCATAGAATAAAATCAAAAATGGCAATCCTACAAGCTTATTGACCAACTTAATAAGTTTAACTCATCGTTACCTAACCACTTCTGTCAAAGGCGACAGATCTAATCAGCTTGCCACAGAAACTGCCCCTAGAATTGGCCAGTTCTATCATTAATGTTAATGTTTGATGGAAGAAAGTTGTAGCAGAAAAGTCGATGATGGTTACAGTAGCGGATTAGACAACAGTGGTTCGATTAGCTTTTTGAAAAAGTTGGTATCGACGGAAAACGGTTGGCGGTGGCATATCGAACGATTTGACGGAGATGTCGTGCTGTTGGAGTAGACGAAGTTGCTTGGCTACCAGCTGCAATCAATTGAGGTAAAGGGTCCGGCTCAATTTGTAAAATGGGGTCCAGGTAGGACCCTGGTCCCTTATCCTTCAATGTCTATCGTTGTCCTCTCTGTCCCTTTAACTTTTGCCGGTTCATCTGATTATTTTAATGTTGTCCCCACCACTGATTCTTCTTTGTTTTCGATTTTTATCTCTCCAACTGCTTCTCAGTTATCATGATCTTGCCCATGTTTCTGGCATTTTGTCTAGCATAACCATATATTNGACCCTGGTCCTTTATCCTTCAATGTCTATCCTTGTCCTCTCTGTCCCTTTAACTTTTGCCGGTTCATCTGATTATTTTAATGTTGTCCCCACTACTAATTCTTCTTTGTTTTTCGATTTTTATCTCTCCAACTGCTTCTCAGTTATCTTGATCTTGCCCATGTTTCTGGCATTTTGTCTAGCATAACCATATATTTTCATGCCAGCAGAAGCAGCAGAATGCCATGGTTACAACTGATACAATTGATGATGGTGACCAGATCAAAACGTACCAAGTTCTCTCAAATTCTACTTACCATTGAGCACGGCTCTCCTTTTTTGTAGCCAGCCCATAGCTTGCGTAGTTTGACCTGAAATCAGTGGTTTTATTTCTGAAGGAAACAACTGCTCTTTTGTTATTCAGCGGCAGCTTTTTTTAGGATGCTGGGTCTTATTTCCAGATTTTAATTTGATGTATTGCTACGGGTCTGATAGAAAGAACTCCAGGAGCTGAATGGCTTGCCAACAATGATTCCAACCAATGATAATCAATCATCTTGCAGGAATTACTGACTATAAAAAGTTCTGTCTGTGAAAAGAATCTGCATGTGCTCTCAGTTCACTCTCCATTCAACAAGAACATTTTTAAGTGACGTCTTCTCTAGCGCCACTTGGCGTTGATCGATTGGTTTTACTTGTTTAGCATTACAATTTATGATTGAAACCATAGAACGATTACAGCCAGGTGGCCTAGGAGAGCGCATGAATTGAATAAATTGGAAAATAGGAAAAAATAAAACATCTTCGGAAAGACAAAAGCCATTCGAGGAACCATTCGATCAAGCACTATTCCCATTACAGAGAAAGTTTGAAGGGGGCGTAAACTACTGATACGAAGTCAGTAATTGATAGACCCTCTATCCTTCAAGTCATCTAATTGCGCAGGCCCAGCTGGAAGAATACGGTTCAAATAGGGTGAACCTCGAGTCAACCTGCTTCAGTGGCCTTCAAAGGGCTGATCACATGGATCAAGCCTCTCCAGAGGCCATTCAGGACCGAGCGCGTCGCTGAGCCCTTCCCGATCATCAATATGATTACTGAATAAACCCCCTGACTCCGCCCCATTGAGCAGAACTACTCGTGAGTTGAATGCGAAGGTCAAAGCGCTGCATAGTGCTGCAAAGGATGCCAACTCTGTAGTATCGCCACACACTTCCCGCCTGTTAATTCAAGGGGGCTAAGTTCCTCCTAGGTTCGCCGGTTTTGCCGCAATGTCGGGTTCATGTGATAATATCGTTACCGTCACCTCTAAACACATGTTTCTATGACATCCTACCCCATGATATTCCCGACTTTTGCACGCTACCCAGGTGTTCCTCAATCCTAATGCGAATAGGTCTCCCTGTTTTCTCGATATACTCCTTTTCACATTGAAAGCGCGTATCAAATACACAACACAGACGTTATGCAGTCTCACCCTATACCGGATGGGCATATGACACAAGGCATTGTGCACAGACGACGACAGGCGATTCCAGACTAGTCGTTTCTTAAAGTGGAGGGGGAATATCCACAACTTTCACCATCTCTTGAACACCTGAAGCACTTGATCCGCATGATATAAATGAGAATCCGCTTCATATAAGTGAGAAATGAAATGGAATTTGGTTTCCACATCCGCGTGACGATCCGCCGGACGATCCGCGTGACGATTCCGTGCGAGACGGGTGTTGGGAACGATTTTGGGTAATCGATTCGCCGCACGCGGCTGTCGCGGACCACTCATTCGCCGTTATTGCAGCTCTAGCGTTCTTCATACTGCTCATTCGATATGCGATCATTATTGTATGCATAATTCTACTATTAGTACTTTTGTTCTTGTGTTTCTTACCTACGGCTGCATCTTGTTACATTCCTTCGCGCGCGACGCCCCTCTCACCGCGACGCGATGATTTCGTTCCTAACGCACCACACCCCGATTCCGTGCTACCATCCTTTCTGTGTCTGAATGGCTGCTTTCGTAGTCCGCCGGCCGGCCTATGGGAACCCTGATGTTTCGGAACCATTTACCTGAGCTATGCGGAGTAATCCCTGTACTCTGTTTTCTCTTCGCCTCTTGAGGAAATTTCGAAGGCGGTGTAGAGCACGCTCATCATGATGGCCTAGGCATTGAAAAAAAGCGAGCGAATTGTTTGTCGGCTCCTTCCCACTAAGCTTTTTTCAAGTGCACCGCTTGCCTTTGTAGATAGAAAAAAGTGAAAAAAAAGTGCAAGAGGAAACCTAATTACAGTTGTCCCTTTTTCATCCTTACAGAAACCGTAGGTGTTCTTGCAGCTCATAATAAACGACAATGGAGTCAAGCTAGAGGCACAATTCGAATTGTTCTTAACTAATATCAAACAGCTGTAGTTCCTTCAGTCAATATGCACTATACTCTTGCTGCACCATGCGCTCGACACAGATTTACGGCCGACTGAACTTTCAGTTCTGGAAAATGAGCCTAACCGGAATGGTGGTCCACTTTCTACTCGAATTCCCACGACAAGAGGTAGTAGTTTCGCGGCGATTGCCGTATCCTCCCAATGGAAATTCAAATCTTTTCTATCATAGCGTACGATTGTAAATGATTCAACTGAACCACCTCCTCCGAAGATGGAGTTATTGATAGTTCTGGGGAATGATTAGTATTGGACAGGTGAGCCGGAACCATGATAGAAAGCTGGCTCACAATGTTAACAAGGAACCACGAGATTCGGTCAACTGGTCTTCCTACACAATTGATAAAAGGGCGAATCCTGCAGGTGTCCACTGACAGCGACCTTAGATCGTCGGTTTAAAGTTCAGCATAGGGGAGACATCAAGAGGTCTCATTTGCCACTGAGAGTCGACTGTGGAGGCATCGGATCTATCCTGTTCAACGGTTTAGCCTGGTGAGTAAAGCTTTCATGAAGGGGTGAGCTCTCCGATGATCCCCACTTGTCGTTTTGCTGGAGGGATCAAAACTGTTGGATATTATAAATCTCGAATTGCATTTAGGCCTATGAAGAAATTGATTACGCCGAAACGTCAGGCCATCTATCTAATAGAGAATCACGCCTGAAAATTTCGAACGGCAGAAGAATTTCGCCTACGCAATGAAAATGGAAATTTATTGGTTGTCTGTAGTATCTACGATTCGGAGAAATACCCATTGCGTAGTGAAAAATAGAATAAATGTTCAGTTCGGTACCGAAGAACACCAAGGTAGTGACTTGGAAAAATACTTCATGAATCATACCTGCAGATCCCACTCGAGCCGGTCTATGAAATGGGGGAGCGAGCATTGCAGAGCCTTTGGACGTAAAGTTTTCCACAACGAAGGAGGAAGATTCAGCAATATCAAACTGAAAACAGAACCGCTTTGTTGAAGACCATTGTTTCCACAGGATGATACCGTGTCCGCCTTTGTTGCTGGTAACAATCGCCGTTTGGATCGCGCTCCTCCCAAATGTCCAGGATCTTTTTACGTAACCGATCAGGCAAAGAGTATATCACTTCTGGCGGCTAAAAATAATCTCATCTTCGAGATAACGCTCGGCTATGATCAGAGATTGGTGAACAACAAAATCAGTATTTCTTCGCCAAGCAATCACAGAAAACAACATCGCGAATTTGGTACTTGGGATTTAAGTGAATTGATAGCTGAACGCGAAACAATTTCATCTTTAATCTGCCGGGTAAAGGGTTCAAGGAAAGGCTTCGACTAGAGAAACCAATGAAGTATGTTATGAGAAGAGTACTGACAAGAGAAGGATCCTAGGAAGAAGTGAGTACTCAAAATGAGGTCCATGTGGCTAGTCGCATTTCCGGAAGCGAATTTCGAATTTTCTAATCACGCCAAAAGATTCCTTGTATAGAGGCGCTTAACATAAAAGAATACAAAATACATGAAGCTAACCTTTCTCATGGCATGAAACAGGTAAGCGTGACGCTTCATATGCCGGAGACCACGGATCGGTTTTTTCGTTCGGGGGGAGGAGGGGGAGTGGGATGGTAGGGTAGGAAAGGGGATACCGGCCGATTGCTAGACCCTTGCCACTGTAGCCTTTTAGGGATAAAAACCGTTGGATGTGCATTTTTTCACAGTGAAAATGGAGTGTGAGAAATCAAAGAAAGTGTGGCGATATTGTAGGCCTTGAGTGGAAATGAATCATCTGAAGCACCAAGATGTCGCTGAAGGCTGTTAAATTGCCGGGCAAATGCTTTGGGGTACACTAAGAAAAAATGAAAAAAAATCCAAAATGAAAACACAGCCTAATAGTATCATTGGCATGGTTTTCTTGGCAGTATAAGTCTCATTCCAAATGGCCATTTTGACTTCGATTCTCCCCTCTTTAAAAAAGGTCAGAGGTCAAGTTTTCGCCTTCCGGTAACGGGTAAGCTCAATCGAGTGGCAGAGTTCAAAATTCGTTTGAGCTGAGTGAGTGCTTTACCTAGTATGATCGCTTAGGACAGTTCCTTCGTAGGTGTAATCCGGAAGCTGTCCAGTGATCACCTGAGTTACAGCTTCGAGCATATCAGCTTATAATCGAAGTTATATTCCAATGAGTTCTTGGACTTATGTTTTCATCGTTTTTGTTTAGATGCCTACTGAGCCAATCAATACACAGGTCAATGCTCACATCCTCCAAGACTATTTTAGCGTGAAATTGTTGACTCTAGAAAGATGGGTTGTTTGCTTGGTCCAGCTGTTACCAACCGAGATATTGAGTATGTCTTCATGAATGTGGTAACACGCTTCGCTATGCAAAACTAAAAATAATGGTTTTGAATTTGGATTTACTGAAGGTACAACTCTTCTTTCAATTACACAATGCTAACTAATAACTGGACCTTTTGCTCGGATCCCGGTGATCCCGCCAGGAAGGCACCGTATGCCGGCAGCTCGACAACGTCGCAATAGCTTCTTCAACCTCGCTCCTTCTTATTCGTGTCTGATCGTCCTGCATCTATGGTCCGTGAGAACGGACGTGGTAGGCCTAAGCTGCCCCAGTCTTCCTTGCGAGCTCCTACGGGCTGGTACTGCCGCCCACAGTACGGGGATTGCTAGCCCAGCGCAGAACTTCCTGGACGCCTGGCGCACGGTCTCACCATGGCCTACGATCCTACCCTGAGCTCACGGGATGGCTGCCATATATATTGCTATTACCACACTTAACGTACAAAAAGCACACGTTATAAATTATACTGTCTAATGATAAACTACGCATAGAAAGAAGAATTCAAATGCAAAGCGAGTAAGTATAAATGTTACGATACAAAAAGTATTATGAGAAAAGGCATGAAAAATTACACAAAAATACAAACCACACTTAACTTACGGACTGGGTACGATTTTGTTTAATCCTCATCCAGCGCCATCCAAGTCATCCCAACCTCTTTCTGGCATTGCTGCTCCAAGGTCCTTCCATGGCTGCGGTTCCTGATGTTTCCTGCTTGCGACAAACTTAGCAGCAGTGGCGCCACTGGTAGATGGCAACAGTGTGGTGCACGGGAACCATGGGGCTAAGTCGATAGCGTTGACGTCGATTTGCTACAAAAGACGACGAAGGGCAGGTGGCTGCTACGATGACGACGAACGATGATGCAATCATCGCTTAGCGGCTAGAGTACACTGCCACGTGGCGACACTAGCTCTCTGCAGCGTACTGTGCCTTCCCCGGCGGGACTACGGTAGCGCCACGCCAGACCGACCTTTAAGGCATCCGAACGGCGCGACACTACTAATACTCCTAGTGAATACGGTCCTATTGCAGTTATCTCATACTGATTCATCCTCAGCCGATTTTTCAATGTGGCTACCTCATTTCCTATCTTAAAAGTTGTTTTTGTCAATATTGATGTCATTTTCGGAGGTATTCTTTTTGTTCAGTTACCCATGTTCGAGGCAAAGAAAGCCCGCTTGGCACAAGTAGCGAAAAAATGGGGAAAGAAGCCACCGGGCCTCTTCATAACTTGAAGTGAATATACCTTGCAGACTTTCGATCGTTTGTCTATGATGATCCGTTTTGGGGGAGTCATCTGTAGCATGATATCCCTGAAAAGGATAAAATTAGAGGACTTTCTATGCGGATCGTGAAGTACAAGTTCTGGGGGTTATTTACTTGGATGCTCTAATTTGCACAAGGCAGTCGTCTCGGTCATTCCAATGACGCCGTCCGTTGACGTTGAGACTTCGGCAAGGTATTCCAGTGGTCGGCGAATCGAACGCTCGCCATTCATAAATGGGCTTTTGCTTAACGAGAGAATTCTATTACTTCGCCGATTCACCGAGCTTCTNTCTATGATGATCCGTTTTGGGGGAGTCATCTGTAGCATGATATCCCTGAAAAGGATAAAATTAGAGGACTTTCTATGCGGATCGTGAAGTACAAGTTCTGGGGGTTATTTACTTGGATGCTCTGATTTGTATAAGGCAGTCGTCTCGGTCATTCCAATGACGCCGACCGTTGACGTTGAGACTTCGGCAAGGTATTCCAGTGGTCGGCGAATCGAACGCTCGCCATTCATAAATGGGCTTTTGCTTAACGAGAGAATTCTATTACTTCGCCGATTCACCGAGCTTCTGTTCATGGATTTTTTTCAAGTCGTTTGAGCATTTTTCTGTTCAGAGGATTTAAACCAGCAGTTTTCCTGTTGGAGATAGCGATCGCTCTCGATTTATTGAGCCGGGAGGAATTGCTATTCTCAAAATTAAAAAACACCAGATCGTTTTTTTTTACCACAGTTTCGTGTTGACCGGATTACTAACGAAAGAATTATTACGCTAAAAAAGATATGCTTTTTCGTAGGCACGGAGTCCGAAGATGGTCATATTTGGGGCATTTTCAAAAGAATTGCTTTTTAGCTTTTTATAAAAGATTCGTCGAAACCACGTTAAGTGTGATGACTAGGCATTTCAAAGGCACAGTTCACGATAAATCTGGGTAATCCAGATTATAATGAAAAATGGAAGACAAGATCGAATAAGTGTGATGAAGGCAAAGGAACTGCGTGGATCGGTGTTTCCAAAGTGAAAAAAGGCTTCGAAAAATTGTTGAAAAGGGGGTTAGACGAGAACGAGACCAGAAAAATGAAGAGGAATGGAGCGTTCGGACGAGCTATTCAATGTGGGTCATTGCGTACGTGTGAGTCCATTGTGAGTTATTGGTGTAGATAATTTACTACGGTAAGCAGAAATTCATTTACTTATTAGAACAAGTAAACAAAAAACCCGAGTAACAGCAAAAATAGCTCACCTTTTTCAGCCTCTTGGAGTAGGAAATTCAAAAAGGGATCGCGGCAGCAAAAAGAATAACAGAGGAAAAAAGAATTGGAGAAAAACATTGCCTCATCACTTGGCGATCGTCCTAGAACGAATAATCTGTATCGCCTCGACACTCGTCTGATGTAACATTGATCGAGGGGAGGGAAGACCGCGCGAGCCGGGAACAGGGCTTCCGCTATGCCCCAAACGTCGAGTTTTTGGGCGCGAGAGGGCCCTTTCTATTACCCTTGGGGGCCACTGGGTATTAGGGAAGAACTAAGTGTCCATTTCTATCGTGAACCGTGCCTTTAAGTTGGGACCCTTCAAGCTTCCAATGGATCCAACGCGGGGGACGGAACATTCACCCAGAACTGAATGGACGCGGCAAATGGCACGGCGAGATTCGTGGCGTTTAGGACGACTTTGGCACCTATCATTGGGGCGCAAACTTAAAGTAGAGTACATCAATATGGTCAGATGATCGTACTAATCCACCCTACTTCAAATTTGGGGTCTAATGATAGGCGCTAAAGTCATTCAAATCGCCACGAATTCCGCCGCGCGATTCGCCGCATCCATCAAGTTCTGGGTGAGTGTACCCATACCCAATCCAACGCTCGAAGTGCTCTATCCCAACGCCAGTGCGGTTCAAAAAAATTTTGCCTGTCTAAGGGTTGCGAACGATCTCACATGTACACTCCTCCTCCCATCGATGCCGGACCCTTTTTTAAATACGTTTTTGAACTGTACTTGTATCAGCTCTACCCGATTCGCTTATTTTTGTAAAAAGTTGATTATCGGCTAGCAGGCCGAATGTTTTGCGTTTAACTTAGTATTCTTGTGTTGAAATTGATTCTTACGAATCTGTATAATGGAGAAGAAAAAAATTTACTAGAGATGTCTACCTTAGATATGCCACGGGCCCATATACTCACACCAAGTGTGTGGATGAGAGCGATAGAAAGGAACCGCATCTGAAAGGAACTCCAAGGTGAATTGAGTCGTGTAGTTGCGAGGAAGTATGAAGTGTCGACGAACTCAAAAAAATTCCATTTATCTGGAAAACAATTACTGCGGAAGGCAATTGCTCTAGACAGAATGACGGCGAAAATCGAATTGCAGTGATAAGAAACTGAAAATTTTGTTGTGGTTTCGGAAATGAAAATTTCAAGAAAAACTAGAAAAGTGAATGTCTAGGATGACCTTGAAACAATTTCAACATTTGCATGAGAGGAAGTCAAAAAGTGAAGAGACGTTTGCGAGAACAACTCTCTACTTTACTGACGGAAAACCTATAAACAGGCTATTTTTTTACGTAGTCACCTGGAATTCACGACACTTTCTCGAGTTCCAGCATGTTTTTTCATTCCCTCAGAGAAAAGCCTAACCATCGGACCCGTAACCAATTTTGTAGCGCAGATGAAAATTGTTCAAACCAGCTTTGCACTGTAAGGGAGATATACCAATCCGATCGTAACTTCATGCTTTGAAAGGACCCTTTCTATAACATGGTTACCGAGCATTATTTTATTATTTTATTATTTATTATTTTTTCTGCAAATCCATCAAGCTCGCTACAAAAATGATTTCCGTGATGTTTTCGCTTACTGTAGTCAGCTTTTTACGCAACTGCACACAACTGATACCCCTCGCAGGCCGCTTGGGTTGTCTTAGTAACGTATTTTACTCTTCAATTTTACTACAGTTTACATAGAACTGTTATATTTCCCTAATGCCATCAAGTTTCCCTCTTTCTCCTGCACCGGTGCACTATGGGAACCACCACTTCCATTACTTGGCACCTCAGAAATGTCGTAAACCTTGCCTTCAAGGGTCGCTACACTAGGGTAACAACTATAAACTGAAGAGTAGAACGACTCATTTTATAAGGTGGTACGATTACACTCAATGGATACTGGCACTGTTACCGGAATCTCAAAAAAAAAAAAGATCGCAGAAGTTTTTGATTTATTTTCAATTCAATTATTTTCTC